ATATGGTAAATAAAGGACCAGCTACACAAATTACAGTTTCTCTGAAAGGAGCCATGTGTAACTGATTTAAATTTTCGAGATTTCCTCAGTCTACAGGATCCAAAGCTTTAACCTGCTTATTTCAATCAACGTCCGCAGAAGCTAGTATGATTGTTCTCAGCGCTTCAGTTCCTGATTCTGATGACGTGGAATCCTTGAATAGGGACTTCAGGCCAAACTCCATCATAGCTTTTGGTCAATCTCAATAGCCACTGAACAATTGAGCCGTTTCCAATCGATTCATTATGACTGTGGGGTTACGGTCAATTTGCTATCATGGCCCTCATAAAACTGCAGCCTAATGGTCTGTTCTAATGTATCTGTTTCATGAGCCCTGTGTGTGCAACTATGTAGTTCTGAATTTCAGTATCAGTACAGGTAACACGGGTGGATATCACTTCTGTCCAAAAGGAGTTTTATCGATCCGATCCTAACTGACAGGAACCAATGAAGTACACGACGACAACAAGCGAAGCAAAGGACACAAGCGGCAGGATTTTAAAAGATGTAAAATGTACAGTTTTGTTACTAACGTAATATCGGTATGTGGGATATTTACAAAGGTATCTGAATAAAGCCAAATGGGATTGATAACAAAATGAGCTAGGCGTATCCTGGGGTATGCCTGCATCTGGCGGGCTGCGGAGCAGATCCATTTCTAGCTGAACTATGCTTCTCAACCACAGGAATACTAAGGTTGATGAGTAGACTACAATACTTTTTCTCCTTCACAGTAAACCATTAATTTAACAAGATCTTTGGGGAATCGCATTTTCTTATCTTTGAGAAGTAGTAAATTTTTGACTTGAGCTCACAGCTGTTCAGAGAAGTACCATGTTATTTCGACTCCTCTGGATCAACAGTTTAGCCCATGGATGACATGATGGCTGCTCTGTCATACTTCCATACGTTTCGCCGAACAAGGGTGTCAGTGGGGTTTACGGTGGCAGCAGCACACCCAGTGACTACTTTTGTGGCATGGTATCAGTTACTGGATGAAACGTAAATCATACAAATGATAAGAAGCCAGTCTACAACTTAGGAGCCAGGTTGATAATTACTTCGGACAGCTACTCCAGTCTGCTTTTCGGTGACCAAACAGGTCAAACTTTCTAACTACTAGTTGTCATACGAGATTGCTGTTGTTTCTGTGAGTAGGCTAGCTCACTCAACTGCTAGTGTCCCAAAGTCATCCGTAACAAAACATTCTGAACTACCTTTACTGAAGTCTAGATAGTTCAGAAGAAAATCATTTGATCCACAACTTGGGCACTGTAAAACTAATTCAATGCCCTACTTTTGCATTTGAGTTAGTGATGTAGCAGTTCGCATGATCCCCCGCCGTGCGCGACCATCTATACGGCTTGCTTACACAAGATTTTTCAGATGAGTGACTATGCCATCTAATAGGCTGGCAAATTTGTTTATTCAGTGGACTAAAAAGTCTCAGAGGCACGCCTTTTTGTCGCAAGTTTTGGATGCGAACAGCAACAGAAGTCCGCAATTACGTCGGGAGTTTCCGAGTTAACGTTGTGCTTATCTCATTCCACTCGTCTAGCCAGGTGGTGCAGAAAATTAAGTGGCATTATTGAGACATTAATATCCAAGAACTGCACGTGTGTAACGTTTGGTTACCTCACTTCCTGGTGTTTCACTGAGACTTAAAAATATTGGAATGCAACGCATGTCTTTCAACTTTGGCAGCACTTCATTTCAAAAGGACACGTCATAAGTATTTTATCAGTAAATACACGGGTCCAGGCGTACGACAGTGAGGCGCAGATTTACCATCACAATAAAATTGGAAATTCAACAACTGAAGCAATACAGAATGTACGGTAAACTATGTGGCTTACTTTCTCCGCAGTAAACGGCAAATTGAGGTTAGTCAGATATATTAATAAAATCGTGACCAGAACAGGGAGCATAAATGGTGCAAGCAGCTTGAAAAAAGACTTGCTACCCGATTTATTCCAGGCATTTCGAAGGATATTCTATTTTGAAAGACTGATAATCAGATTACCATTTGGGCGGCGTAGCGCAGTAAGTAACGCGAGGCAGGATCAGGCATTCAGACGGGTGACGTGGATACGAACAAAACTCTCATATGAATGCATTAACAGAGATCTCAGTGGCTCGAATATGTTCGCAAAAGATCTGAGAAGTGTAGATGAATTCTGCAAACGGGGGTCTGGACCAGATTAGCGTGCGCGCTCATTCTAATAAGTTGGTCTATGGGACCCACAATTCGAGCACACTCAAATGAAAAGTATCACCACCGTTGGTACAGATTCGCAAGATGAAGTACCCGGAGTAGCCAAGATACCATACACCACGCTTCCGATGAACTTTCATGTCAAGTCGCTCACCGAGCTTCACAATTTGAATCGCCGTAAATCATGTCCCGTTTTCAACAGTCACGCTCGAAAAAGGAATGGATGAAACCTCACCAGACAAAGACCGGGTCAACAGCTGAACTTAGTTTACCAAGTCACCCAGTACCAATAGCATGAACATTGACTGTTGTGGAGAAAACTGCATGGTTCTCTACCATTATGCTTCATATATGAAGCACAGTGCGCAACATTCGATTTCATGAATCATATGAATATGCACAATTGAGTTTGATGTACTCTCAGAAACTACTGTCTGAATGAAACCTACCTGGCACGTTCTTCTATCCTGAAAGCCACTGTTCTTTGGAAACACTGTGAGTTTGTGCTTTTGTTTAAATCCGCCTGAATTCTGAACTTTTTCATCTAAAATGAAGGGCTAATGTTTTTAGATGACTTGTGTGATGGTGGTTATTTTATATCGCACACTTCATACGTTGATGCCTAAGAGACTTATCATTTTCTAAGCAGCATCTTAAGTTGCTTGCTGTAGTCTCCATTTTCAAACCGTCATCATTTTCTGCTCACAAATTTCCTAGAATTGATTAACCCATCTGGTTTCTTGGAACAGTCAATCCGAGATAAACGATTAATTAGACGAGCGTTTCTCTCTTTGTGTGATCGAAAACTGCTTATGACAAAGTTTTTTACGGCAAGTGGTTTCAGTTGCCCTAGAGGTGCTTCTTTTATATGTCGGATGAGTTGCATCAGCTACTGATGTTCAGCTGAACTGCATGCAGTTCAGTGTTCGATGGATGGCCTCGTAAACAGTGGTTTTGAAGTGTAACATCGTTCCCTGCAGGCTATCACGTCCGGCATCATTAAGGTATCTAACTGCGAATCAAACGGTAAAGATGTTGTGAGGCCATACACTTCCCTATGTAAAGTAAACCGTGGCTTTAGTGCTCAGAAACTAGAGGTTGTCTTCCGAAACTCAGCGAGAGGGATGTTTACTAGTATCTCTGTTCCGTTAATTCACTATGGACTAGGAGTGGCCAGCATTGCAAGTCTCGTAATTAGTATATGTGGCGGTATATCATACTGTCTAAAGATTAATATTCTGAGTGAACTGACTCCAAATAATGTTTTACCTTCTCAATATGAAGTAAAATATTCTCAGTACAAAAATCCTGTACCTTCCGAAGCATCCCCTAAGTTTTGGCTGATCGCAATCGTCCATCCATTCCTAAATACAAAAGAGTCGTCACTGCTTGAACCAACTCCCCGAAAGGCTTTTAATGTTAGGGGTAAGCTTGCGTGTAAGCGCGAACGAAGCACCCTAAATACCGTCCCTCTTAAGGTCATAACAACGTTTTTATTCCTTACAAACTTGGCGGTTACAATTTTTCAGGTGATGTTTCTGCTTTTGATTTATTCTCTCATCCGTGCTTTTGAAGAGGCTTGTTGGGACCCACGTTGAGGCACTCCTATTACTTCGGTGGGCACTGTTATCCTGTATGGGGAGGGGACACCTCTCTCCTTTGCTAGCTGAAACCGGTGTTCTATGATACTTTTCTATCCGTCTCGCTTCCACTTCCACTTTTTATGACTCTGTTTCCTCGGTGAAATCGGTTTTGTCAACGACTCTGATGACTTTATAGTCTCCACCCTAGTAGCCCCTTAACAAGGTTGCTCCAAAATAGGCAGCAGTCTTATTAATATTGAACGGCTACTATGATAACTTGTGCCTCTGAAGTATACCCTGTGTCAAGTTCACTTATACTGAGCGCACGTAGCGTCACACACTCCTCTAGAATCAGTAGCTCAAGGTTCGACGACGCTAAACACTGATGCTGACCTTCATGGTTTGACTGGACTCGCCAAGCTGAAGGCACCCGGTCAAGCATCCTTGCCGTTTGGCGCGCTGTCGTGTTTCGCTGCACTGCTCGTAAGCGACCTTCCAGCCAGTTAGCTAGAACGCATAGGTATCTTGGCACAAACACCCAAATATACTATTCCATCCGACTACGCTGCAGTGCTGTTTCTTGACCTGGTATGCGTGGGTATGTGACAAGTTCGAACGATTAGTGATTGGGCTCTGCGTCCGTCAAGTTCGCACCAGGGCAACTCCTAAATGCAAATATGTGTACTGTGTAGTTTCTCACCTCACTGTATACGTAGGAATTGGGTCACTGCGCCGTGATTTGCACCTCATTTGCTTGAATCTAGTGACAATGCATGCACTCCATGGCATTTCACTTGTATTCTGCATGAGGCAGATGTTAGGTAAAAATCACTGTCAAGCGTGTCACGCCAAAGGAACTGATAACCATATTGCTTACCATTATCTTTGTTTGGAGAATCTAGTTTTTATCATGATGGTGAACAGTAATTATGTTCACTTTTAAAAATGTTGCGCACAGGCTGTAAGATCTAGGAGACAGAGTCCAAAAGCTACAAGTTTTCTCGACTCTGGCTATTGATGTTGGGTGTTTAATTACTATTTGTGAGTTTCTTTTGGGAGTATTATCACTGGCTTATAATTCTGTGTGAGATGCTAAAAAACTGTTCAGGACAAAGCTGTTACTATTTCTGAAGTGTATTTGTTTTTTCTCACTAATTTATGACTCTGAGTTGATCACTTCTAATTCTGAAGGTCACTCTTGTTTACTAGTTGGTCATGGATGGTAATAACAGCCAAAAAGTCAATGCAGAACTTATTCCAGAAGCAGCATTGGTTTGCTCAGTATGCAAGTCCCGTGAGGTCTTTGGTATATTGGCCACCTGTTTGCATTTAACCTGTCAAACGTGTGCTGAATTAATGTTTAAAGATGAAGCTTACTTCTGCACTTTATGTCGTGAAAGCAGCAGCAAAGTAATATTGTTCACTTCTATAATATTTCTACCAGATAATCAGTAATCCCAACATATGTAGACCGGAAAACATCAACAAATCGCCTACATGCAACTGGTGTCATGATAATGGTGAACAAACAAAATCAATCGGACATTGCGAAGACTGTGACATATGGTTGTGTGGTGAATGTCTTAAGGGTCACAATCGAATGCCACCCTTACGTAATCACAACATAATTGTGCTTTCTAAAAGTGAATATATGGGTTAGTCAGTTGATATACTATCATTCCAGTACTCCTATGTTTTGGCTATTTAACAATTTAGTCATTATTTCTGATACTTTTCTCATATATAACATATCTTACCTGTCATATTTCTCCATGAATGTGCATACACTAGGGAGTTATAAGCCACATGTTTTGAGTTTATTCATGGATATCACTTGGTGTGAAATAGCCTCTTATTTAATGAAGGGATGGATAACTGGAGGACCGTTTTAAGTAGAAACTGAAGTGATTGCAACATCTAAATCCTAAGGTGAGCTTGCACGACGTTCCATGTTTGTTAGTGTGCTAGGACTGTGAGTGATTCACTCGCTAATCTTCATACATTCTGACTTATATAAAGTAGAAAAGAACTGGGGTTCCTGTTTCCCACCTCATCTTTGCTGCAGAGTGTAAGACTTTGGAGGTCTTTAGTTGTCTTTGCTTAATGGCTTTGTATATTTCTGGATACGGTGGACAGAAAAATGTAAATGTGATAATAGCATGACAGGCCAACAAATCTCCTGCATGATGTTGAAATGAAACCACTCATCCCACTATAAGACAGTCAGAAAAGACCTAATTAGTGTGGTCTTTTTTCTTAAGAAAAGTTGGAAAGCCATTACGATTATTATTTGTCCCTTGGGTTCCTAGTGTAACATAGGGCTTCAGTAGCACGTCTCCATTCCACTCTGTTCTCTGCAGTCTTTTGAACCTGGCTCCACAACTGCCCCAAAGCTCTCATTTCTACCTCGCACGATCTCCTCCATGTCACCTTCAGATACCCGACTCGCCGTTTCCCATCTGGGTTCCACTCGAGTGCCTGGCGCATGATGTCCGCGAATGGTCTTCTCAGTGTATGCCCAATCCACCTCCACTTTCTTCTGCATATTTGTTGGGCGATAAGTTCTTGGTTGGTTGGTTGCCAGCCAGAGTGAATTCTTTGTTGCTTATTCTTTCTGGCCATCTGATCTTCAGTATCGGGCGTAGGCAGTTGTCGATGAATGTCCGTAGTTTGTTGGAAATGCTTTTCGTAACGCTCCAAGTCTCTCAACCACCACATGGAAGTACTGACTTGACTGAATTAGTGTTGAAAATCCGGATCTTGTTCACGCGTTATGCTGAGTTCAGTAGATCTCCACAATGGTTTCAGGTTAATGAAGGGCTGTCTTACTGGAGAGCCCTTAGACCGTATTATTTTTCTTAGATACTAAAAGGTCACCATATTTAAAATGGGCTCGCTGCTCAGATCTCATGCTTTTAATTAGGCCTTACGTGTGTCGGATGCAAGATCTGAAACAAGTTCTCATCAAAGCTCTGAAAGGCATTTCGTGAGTATCACAGGTTTTAAAAGCCGTTTGTGACTACCACTCTACAACTGACTGGCGTTTTCAGGTCATAATTAATTATGATACCTAAGTTCCAATAATCAATTACTTTTGACTGTAAAATTCACTGATGAAGTAGTCATATGGGTCGTCGCGACCTATTAGCATAATTACACTCTTCGTGATGTTAATTTTTAAAAACCGTCTAATGGACCGACCTTTCAGAGTATTTAGGTCATTGCGTAGAAGCGGCCTATTCTCATCACACTGGACAGCTGTTTAAAGTGTAACATTTTTTGCAAACATGAGGATAGAAGGCCTAGCCGTTGTAGGCAACTCATTCACATGGAGTAGGAAGGAAAATGAACTTAAGGTAGTACCTTGAAGCACCCAGCTTCTGACTGATTTCGATGACGGCAAGATTCAGTTTACTATACCATTGGTCTTCTGTCCCAATTTCCAAACATATTAATCCAAACTCTTCGCAACTTCTTTTGAGACCCGAGTGAGAAACGTTTTCAAAAGTTTCGTTGAAGTCAAAGAATATGAAATCAGTTGGAGCACTCACGTCACTGGTAGAAACCAACCCCTCTTTTGCAATGGTGATATTTGTTAGGTACGTTTGGCCGGCTCTAAAACCGTGCTTCTCTCCATCTAAGTGCCTACTCCTCTCAATATGCAATACAGATACTCATTTCCGAAAGTTTAATAACTGAACTAACCCAGCAATAGTCGTTCAGTAGTTGCTAGTGGCCACTCATAGACTAGAGTAATAGTGGCATCCTTCCAACCTTTAGGTGATTTCAATTTACCTCGTGGCATATTAAACAGCGCAAATAGCAACTAGCCAATAAAATCCGCTAGTACTGATGATATATGAAAAGACAGTTCACCTGGACCATTTCATTTACTAGAGTTCTGGATTAATCTCACAACGATAATGATTACCGTTTCTATTCACAGTATATCACCAATAGAAACAATTTCCGAACACTGAATACGGTCTGTAAAGAATACTTGTCTAAGGTATTATGATAGTAAAGCCTTAGATCGGGGATTACTATAATCCGCTCATTGTAATGCCAAGGTTGGAGTGGTTTTGTTGCTCAGAGTCCTCTGAATGCAAAATTGTATTCGCTTAGGAACGTATTGTTAATTCTTATTGATATCCTTCTCATGTGCCAACTTAGATCTTCTGATAAGATTATCACGATAGTTCCAGTATCATCAATAGAAGGGGTCACACCAACTGACTGGTTTTTTGATGAAGGATTTCCTCTTATTGTTGTCAGTTTCACCCATTAAACATTCTAGTGAGGTTGAACAAAGTCGTAGTCCATGTGATAAACTCTAAGGTCGGATGGAAGCACTATGCAGTCGTTGTTAGCTGGTAAAGTAAGAATATAAAGGTCGAATGCATAGTATACCACATGTAATAACAAGAGATCTAGCAGGAGAGATCCTTAAGTAGTACATACATGCGTGTTTCTGCAGACATGGTGTGTGACAGCATGTTCCATACCGAAGAAAAGTAGACCACTATCGACTGAGTTAGGTAGTTGCACAGAGAGCATTTAAACCCAGTTTGTATTTGTGACATAGATTCTCGAACTATGAGTGATTTTGCTTCAATTTCTGATACGTTCTAGTACCAAGTAGTCAACGTGACAGTTTGAACTGTTATAGATCACACTCCGTAAGGAGATTTCACAGCTAATGGTCTCGAATTATACTATCACGCAGTATAAGCATGTTGTACAGTACTTGGAAATTATCTGTCAATTACAGCATTACTTCACCATCATTGGTCTTTTATTCTGTCACTTCATAGTAGGTTGTATTCCGATAACTGCAGTGTTTCATCTAGATCAGGAATAGACCATGTCTCTGTAACTTATCATAACCGGTGCAGTTTCTTCCACTGAAATCCCTAGCTCATGGAATTTTTCCCTAAGGCTGAATATCAGTATGACAGACTTCAACAATTCATAGTCCACCTAACTTATTCAGACAGGTTTTGAGGGCATTTTCTCCCGAGAACTGATCATCCAAATACTTACCAATTTGATTTTCTCTGTTCTCACGTCCGGCTTCTAGTCCATCTAGTGCCTTCCTTTTTATTCTGTCCAACGTCCAGTGAAACCTAATTGTCAGGTCGGAGCTAAAGATCACATGTCCAAAAGATAAAAGCTGGTTCCGCTGCTAGTGATGGGCCGTCACTAGCAATGGAATTCAGGACATGCGTTTCATCCCATTTATAGCTCATTATTTGGATGTGCCTGCGAGACTCGAACCCACATGGTTCTGCTGTTTGTAAAAACGCCAAACAAATTGGAAAAACTCACGTTGAGTAGAATCACTACCGCTAACCACTTTTCTATTCTGATTAACTTCACTTTGCTTACATCCGAGGTATTTTCAGATATTAGTTTCCTGATTATTGTCCCTATTAATTCTAAGTCATGAAAATGCGGTATGAAATCCAGCTCCCCTAGGTCATCTGATTTGCATACGATCACATTGCACGTAACTGTCTGTCTCCCATTTCCACCAAAAACCGAAAACGTTGAAAAAAACCGTTTAAACTTGGAAAAGTGACAAAAAAGGAGCCTTAACTGGATTACTTTATTGTTTGCCAGGCAACTTTTGATGTGATTAGCTCGCTAAAAGCCAAATTTGTCGAAAGCGTGAAGAAAGCTCTTCTTTTTCCCAAGTGCGCGGTATGTATAAAAGCATGCATGCGATATAAATATGGGATTACTTTTTGAATGTGAATCGTGACTACTTCTTTGTTGCAGAAAGTTTTCATTGTTGATGTTTCGGTATCATCATATGGGTAAATGTGATGCTCCTTTTGCACCAGTTTTATGGTCAAACATGAAATAGTTAGTTTACAGCTGTAATCAAGTTATTTACACTATAAGACCAAACCATAATAGTTCTAAGATTTTTTGAAAAACCTAAAGAAATGCTACGTCCTACTTCAGAGGTGAACCAGGCACCGGTGAAAACTTATGAATCCTTATAGATCTTTTCAATCACTCTACAGCTTTATTGGCCTTTTATTCTCGTTGGCATGCTTTATAATCTGTGGAATTATTATGACATATGATATATTTATGTTTACTAGTATCGACTACCCGTATAAAATCAGATTTACCAAGTCGTTAAATATTTTGAACTCATTTGCAGGGTCACTCCGGTGTGAAGCTCATCCTAATGAAGCATTAGAGTGCTTTTGTGAAGCTTGTGGAGTGTTAACTTGTCGTGATTGCCAGTTATCAGTCCACAGGGACCATGGGAGTCATCGATGGGTTGGAGAAAAGGCAGTCCAGTTAAAGGCTCCTCTAGAAGAATGCATCCAAGGACTTAAAGAGTCCTCAGATAAGTTGTCCTCTGCACTTAGTTATGCTAGTAGTGCTCGCATTTGCACAGAAGAGGATAGCTTTTTGAGCAGTGTAGAGAAAACTCGTCAGGACATCAAGTTACGGACGTCTTCCCTCATTGACTGCATTCGAATTCGATCTGAATGTCTTTTAAACGAGCTGGATAAAAAGATGGAGATGTATGTTGGCCAACTGCAGGATGCCGAGACTTTGATTCGTAAACTTCAGGTATGTTATTTTCTTCTTAACCGTTCAACTCTCTTTTACTAATAAACAGATGTTAATGTGTATAAATGAACTGTCTGTAAAGAATATGAGTAAATTAAAGCCGAATATATAGATAAGTAGATTTCCAACAACCAGATAAAACTAAAAAGATCACTCCGTTCTGAAATTCTCCAACCAATGGAGATTGTTTTCATGTGCTTATGTTCTTTAATTAAATCATTCATCTCATTAGTTCATCTGTCTTTTCTCAGTAGAAAAGTCTACCTGTAGTTGTGTAGTTAAATTCTGGGTGTAGGATATAATATTATTTGTATACCCATTAAGGTTATCATATAGGCAGTTCGAATTTTTGTTCCTGCTATCGGAGAGTGGGATCTTCATGAAGATAGAAAAACGTTTGTTCCAGTGATCACATATAGTCTTCATCGACTGAGATGGCTGGGATATGTGTTACGTTTGCCTAACCACCGTCTGCTTCGTAGCAAAATGTTGGCCGAAGTAGGTTCAGGCTGGAAAAAGGTTCAGGTCGGCCAGACTAAAACATGGCATCAATGCATGAAGTCCTTGACTATTGATTTGAGCCATGTAGGGCGATGCAGACTGGTCGGTTGGGGTTCACGGCGCAAGAGAAACCAGTGGTTAGAGACTTTAGGTGGCATAGCTCAGAACCATGTCAGTGGCGCAGATGTATACACATATTATCCTCACATTATCCGCTATACTTAACATCATTATCTTCTCATTCTTCCTTCTTATCTTTTACTACTTTCTACTTCTACTTCCTTAGACCGATTTTCCTTTCTTCATCTTCCATTTTTATTGCCTTGTTACTTGATGTGCTGAGGTGTGGTAACTTGAACCGTCACGCAGTAGTGTCTGGTCCTATGTTGATCTTGATGATGATGAGGATGATATAGTCTTCATAAATGGTTTTGTTTATAGAGACATTGATCCCCCTTTGCATTTAATTTCCCCGAGAGCTTGACCCGAATTGTTGCAGGGAATTCCACACAAGAGCTCTAAGCAGCAATATCTTATCTGTGAACATTTTCATTGCTCACAGAAAAATCTTTACGTGGTTAGCAGGTCTAAACTGATCATATTTTTAATCTCTTATGTGTGTTGAATCCTCTTTGTAACCTGGAAGAAAAAATTGTGATGGACTGATAGCCACAAAAGTTTTAGTGTAGAGATTTTCGACAGGTAATTCATCGATTTGGTCAGTCTTTCAGTTTAGTACTAGGCAGTATACTTGATTCATCTCAGATTATTGATTGAATGCTGGTCAATATGTACACCGGAAGTGTTACGATTTAGTGAGGCGTGACCGAGTGATATGTACTGACGAGACAGAATAGCTAGTTTTCAACTCTCGAAAATAATTTTGTCTAAAGCCTAAGTTGAGTGGTCTCAATAAGAATGGCAAGTTGAAGACTTCTCGACTCACATCATTTTGTTAAAGTAATGCAGGAAACTATATATACAAAGAATGAAAAGGTAAATAGTATGGTTAAGTGTAAATTCATCAATAATGCATAGTAAGTCAGGATAATATGAGGTCATTAAGCAGCTAACATCTCACTAATGAATGTGGAGCTATCTTCCTGTGTCCTATCATATTGTTGTCTCTCGTGTTTGAATACTAACGTGAAGTCGGGATTATTCATCTAAATTGTCGAATTAGTTGTTGTAGGTAGCAGCTGAACTAGTTGCGACACGTTTTACTTCTGGAAGACCCTTCAGGATTTTAGAAATACTAGTTCCCTGGTCACTTCGTGCATAAGTATAACACTGTATCGAGGATGAAAAGCTGACTTGCTTTTATACTAAAGTAGTGGTAGGCGATAAGATGTTGGGTCATTATATATGTATTTATTGCATGCCGACATCAGATATTTCAGACATTTGGAGTTGTTCGCTAAGGTACTTCATTTGTCGCCTCATCAATAATAATTGATGTGAAGAAATTCCGGCTAGCATGAAGTACGCTAAACTGGTGGAACCGCTTGAACAAGTTCATCAAGAGTTTGCTTAGTGAAAATAAACAGTACTGGTTAGAAAAGGCAGAAAAAATGATGGAAATATCGGCAGAATACAATATTTGCAAGCTACTTGCACTTACTAACTGTACTGATCTGAAGAAAGGACAAACGAAAACTAATCAACGTAGAAATGCGCATGAAACTGCAACATTTTGTTACCACACTATGACAGCACAGAAAGGTGAACTGGAAAAAATGTTAGAAGTCGGCAAAAGTATAAATAAAGAAAATTGAAGGTTAGTAAAATTTTCAAAATTTTCGTAGTAGAAGGGAATATGTATGCGCCGTTGTGACATACTTTGAGTTGTATCACCAAAATTCCATAACTTTATGATATCCACTTCTCAATGACCCAAACCAGATGGTGTACACCCCCTTATTGACCGAGACCAACAGTCATTGACGTCGCAGATTTGTACCTTGTCTCGGTTTGACTAACTTTAACTTTCTTCCAAATACTAGTGTGAGTAGTGTTGAAGTCAGGTGAAGGGTACTAGGCAAGACAGGCAAACCAACTGCTGAGGTTGTGAACCTTCATCGACTGAGTTGGCTTGGGCATATGCTGTGCATGCCAAACCACCACCTACCTTGACGTGCCATCCTGGGGAAGCTGGATTGGGTTGAAAGAGGGTTCAGGGTGGCCAAACCAAGACGTGACACCAGTTGATGAAGTCCCTAACTGTTGATCTGAGCCTTGTGGGAGAGAAGTACACCACATAGGTGAGGTCCCTGAGACGATTGGAATCAGTGGTTGAGGACTGCTGGTGACATGGCTGAAATCGGTCACAGTGGCGCAGACGTATTCATTCTTGGACGTCTCGTGAAGTTGGAATATTCGCACCAACCGTTATCCTTAAACTGTTCAATCTCCCACACAACTTTGTCGATTTTGATATCATTACTTTTCTCTCCACCTGTTCTTTATGTACTACTGTGAAGTATAGCAACTTGAACCGATGGACATGTGTGCGAGGTTCTACGTTGATTTTGTCTCTTTGTCTGGAGGCGTCATACAAACTTGATCAGTTTATACGGGTGATAGAAAATGTTTAAAGTATGGATTTATTTCACCTGCTGTTGTTTGTTATTTTTGTTTATAGTTTAAAAAAAAATATTACCTGCGGATGTACTATCAAAAAGTATATTTTTCATATTTGATGTACCTTACGTTCAGGGAAATTTATTTTCAGCCTATCCACAGCGTCATCAGCTGTGGGTGGTAATAAACAACACACTAGCCTAATCTGTAGCCTTTTTTTTTACTTTAAAGGAACAAATAAATTTTGTCTCAGCATTCTCAAACCATCTCATCCAAAATGTAGATAATGATCCTGCTAGCTTAGTGCAACTCTATGAAACTGTCAAACTAAGACTTGACTTGCTTCAACTATTCTCTGAACGAATTTTGAATGATTCAGCGTTTGTAATGAATTCAGTGGATGAAAAATTAAAAGATAAAATAAAGGAGTCAAGTTTATGGTCTGAGAATGTAATTGGTTGGCGCTCTGTTGTCAATACACGTGCATTGTTTCTTGGTAACTGGGACGCTGAAGAATTATGCAGGTACTCTGGAACAATAGCTTGGCTACCCAAAAAATCCACTCCCGATTTCCATCATAATGACAATAATCAAATAAGTGGAAATCAGTTCAGGTTGAAGATGGAAAATGTAGGTTTCAAGCAAAGTATATATATATATATAATTTTGAGGGAGTTGTGGGGATTTGGAAATATTTCAAGTTGTTATTTATCGTTGACTGACGTCAGTTGGAGTAATAAAGGGAACCTGGGGGCACTGGATAGCTGTTTCTTCCTAGTATGGGACTCCTCAGCAGTGCGCACCCACGACCCCGCCAGGGATCGAACCCGCGATCTTCAGGTTCCGTGGCCAGCACATTACCATTGAGCCACTGGGTCAGAATTCAATGGTTTATATTTCCAACTTCTGTTAGCTCACTATATAATGCGACCGCCACCCAATTTCATCGTTGAGTAATTGTCCTCATGACCATCAGGCTTTGCCCCCACCGGTCACGACTTCTCATGGTCGTGAGGACAGTTACTCAACGATGAGATTGGTTGGCGGTTGCGTTATATCGTGAGCTAACAGAAGTTGGAAATATAAACCATTGGATTTTGACTTAGTGGCTCAATGGTGATGTGCTGGCTACGGAACCTGAAGATCGCGGGTTCGATCCCTGGCGGGGTCGTGGGTGCGCACTGCTGAGGAGTCCCATACTAGGAAGAAACAGCTATCCAGTGCCCCCAGGTTCCCTTTATTACTCCAACTGACGTCAGTCAACGATGAATAACAACTTGAAATATATATATATATATATATATATATATATATATATATATATATATATATATAGATCAACCTCGCCTGGTTAACTAGTTTACTAGTTACTAGCCGGTCCTAAGCCCGGGTAAAGAGGGAAGGTTGGGCATAGGGCTAGCAACCCTACCCCGTAAAACAAATCTAACCGCTAAAGAAACTTCAAAGCACAAACAAAATATAAAAAATGAAAACAAACTTATTCCCCGCTGGAATCGGAGAGGCGAAATGACGCCAGTTGGTGAAAGCCTTCGGGAAGCCAATTGGCCGATGTGTCTTCTCTCGATGAAAGCGAAAGTAAACGTGGGGACATGGAATGTCCGCACGATGTTTGAACCCAGTAAGGCAGCCCAGATTGCAAGGGAGATGAGAAGGTATAACATCGAAGTGCTTGGGATTTGCGAAAGCAGATGGAATGGGAGTGGACTCTCCAAACTGTCAACTGGAGAATCAATAATCTACTCCGGTCACCCAGACGCCAACCACGAGCACACTGAGGGAGTGGCTATCATGATGTCCTCAAGAGCATCGAAGGCTCTCATGCAGTGGGAACCAATCTCCTCCAGGATCATGACAGCAAGATTCAACTCAAAAGGAAGAAAGGTCACAATCATACAATGTTATGCACCTACAAATAATGCAGAGCAAGAGAAAAAGGAGGATTTCTACAGACAACTTCAATCAACACTGGACAAGACGTCAGTTGGCGATATCAAAATTCTGATGGGCGACATGAATGCCAAACTGGGAGGGGACAACACGGGAAGAGAACTAACCATGGGTCGAGAGGCACTAGGTGAAATGAATGAGAATGGAGAATTGTTTGCAGAATTCTGCGCATTCAACGATTTGGTGATTGGAGGCAGTGTGTTCAGGCACAAGGATATCCACAAAGCGACATGGATTTCACCAGATGGACACACTAAAAATCAAATCGACTTTATCTCAATCTCAAGAAAATGGAGACGCAGTCTACTTAACACAAGGTCAAGAAGAGGAGCAGATGTAGGTTCAGACCACTACCATCTAGTGCAAGGAACCTTCCAAATCAAGTTAAAAGCCTTCAAGGAAGCTGGTGATAGACCTCAATTCAAGTACAACACTCGGAAACTGAAGGATGAAACTACAAAGGAGATCTTCAAAGCAGCCATCAAGACAAAATGGGAGACGTCGAGGGACATCCCTGAAGAAACCTGTGTAGAAGAACACTGGAAGTCTTTGAAAGCTATGTGGAAAGAAACCTGCACAACAGTATTAGGAAGGAAGAAGAAAGAAGACAAGGAATGGATCTCGACGGATACCTGGAAGCTGATAGAGGAGAGGAGGATGGTGAAGCAGAAGATAAACCAGTGCAAGGATGCTCAACGACAAGAGGAACTGAGCACAATGTATAAAACACTGGATAAAGAAGTGAAGAAGAGTGCACGCAAAGACAAAAGACACTTCTACGACACACTGGCAAGTGAAGCAGAACAGGCTGCAGGTAAGAGAGACCTGACGACATTGTATCAAATAACCAGGTTGCTATCAGGGAAGAGACCAACACAGATGAAACCAATAAAAGATGAAGAAGGAAATTTAATTACAAAAGAAGAGAAACAGAGGAAACGATGGGCCGACCACTTCAAGAAGCTCTTGAATCGACCACCACCTGCACTTCGTCCAGAAATACCACCTGCAGCCGCTGAATTACAAGTGAACATAAATCCCCCAACGAAAATGGAAGTCCTGAACGCCATAAAGCTACTGAAATGCGGGAAAGCAGCAGGACCAGATGGAATACCGCCAGAAGCACTGAGAACAGATGCAGAGACAACAGCGGACATGCTCACACCACTATTGCAGAAGGTGTGGAAGGAAGAGAAGGTACCTGACGATTGGAAGAAGGGTTACCTTGTCAAACTGCCGAAGAAGGGAGACCTCAGTGCTTGCAAGAACTGGCGCGGAATCACTCTCCTGTCCACCCCAAGTAAAATATTAAGCCGCATCATCCTGGAGAGGCTTAAAGACGCACTGGATTCAAAACTACGACCGGAACAGGCAGGCTTCAGGAAGTACAAATCATGTGCAGACCAAATTGCAACGCTTCGTATCATCATAGAACAGAGCATAGAATGGCAATCACCTCTCCACCTCAACTTCATCGACTTTGAGAAGGCCTTTGACAGCGTCGACCGAGAAGTAATTTGGAAACTGCTTCAATACTACGGAGTACCGCAAACCTTTATCCGCCTCATTCAACAACTATATGAAGATGCCACATGCCAAGTAATCCACAATGGGAAGCTCAGTGATGCCTTTGAAGTGAAGACAGGAGTGAAACAAGGTTGCCTACTATCCCCCATGATATTCTTGATTGTGGTGGACTGGATCATGCAGCAAACAGTAGGCAGCGAGAAGAGGGGGATACACTGGACGACGGAAAAGAACCTAGAAGACTTGGATTTCGCCGATGACTTATGCCTAATGTCACATAAACTTGAAGATCTGCAGGCAAAAACTAACAAGTTGCAGAAGAGGCAGCTAAGACGGGACTTCAGGTGAATATAGAGAAGACAGAAGTGATGAAGATACCGCACCACCACCATCAACAACAACAACAACAACAACTCCAATCACTGTCAACGGGAGAAACTTAAAGGAAGTAACCTCCTTCACTTATCTAGGAAGCACTGTTTCAACTACAGGCGGGACGGACGAGGACGTCAAAGTCAGAATCGGAAAAGCAAGACAGGCATTCATTAGCCTGAAACCAGTGTGGAGATCTTCTGCACTCAGCATGCGGAACAAGATACGGATTTTCAACACCAACGTCAAGTCAGTGCTCTTGTATGGCTCAGAGACTTGGCGCGTCACGAAAGGTATTTCCAATAAACTACAGACATTCATCAACAACTGCTTACGCTCGCTGCTGAAGATCAGATGGCCAGAAAAAATAAGCAACAAGGAACTCTGGGAACGAACCAACCAAGAACCTATCACGCAACAAATATGCAGGAAGAAGTGGAGATGGATTGGCCATGCACTGAGAAGGCCGACTGAGGACATCACGCGTCAGGCCCTCGAGTGGAATCCCCATGGGAAGCGACGAGTTGGACGTCCGAGGGTGACATGGAGGAGGTCGTGCGAGCAGGAAATGAGAGCTTCTGGGCTGTCGTGGACCAGGTTCAAAAGATCTCAGAGAACAGAGGTCACTGGAGGCGTGCTACTGAAGCCCTATGTTCCACTAGGAACCCAAGGGACTAATAATAATAATAATAATATATATAGATCAGATTCAAGGTGGCATACATTCTTGGTATGAAAAAGATGCGTAAATTAACTGTTATGGTTACCCGGTATCACTGCGAAATGACAGGTATAGAACATTCAGACCACCTTTATCTTTAACTTTGGATATTGATATTTCGAGATAGTTTTGGTGATATTATTAGTCTGAATTAGGATACCAAATGGTATCAATACGTCCACTCCAATAGTCAATGTATAAGCGGCGATCACATCTCGTCTTCTCTTACCTTTTGGCGTCAGATAAATAAATTGTTGTTCATTTAAAACTTAGAAACATATTTGTTCAAATCTGTCAGGGATTGGGACCAAATATAACTCAGCATAGGACAAGGTGTTCACAATTAATCAAATCTTCCGGAAAAATTGTGTCTGTAATTAAGAATTTCCCTAGGTTTGATTGAATTCACATTCTAAGTAATTTATTAGAGGATACCACGCCTTATATTGGCAACAGGTTATTACAGAAAGTTTACCAACTTCAAAATTGAATGGAGATATACTAACACGCACAATTTGTTTTGGAAACGCTCACATGAGGATTTCCCCTGTGCTTAAACCCCAAAATACTAAATTGCTTTGGTAAGTGACCAAGTAACTTGAGGTGTGAATAACAACACTTGCTTTTCACAATTTATGCTATAACACACTGTTGGACTATCACTGGACAAGTCTTATTTCACAATTGTGAGGATCATTTTTATCAGGCGAAAAAATATTGTTGTGCCTATACAATTTTCATGCTCATAAAGATACCCCAAAAAATTGTTTAACTGATTTCTTGTCCGGGAAACTATCTAATAAGTTTATTCAAATCAGTCAGCAGCGTGAATTCAGTCAGCACTCAAGAAATGATAATGGATGCTCTCCAGTGATCAAACAATGTATAACAATACTTTTGTATTACTAACAAACAAGTTAAGATGTTGCTTTCTACTGTAACCCTTTCCTACAGCCTTTCAGTTGACCAATTTGTCCTCATAATCTTTATTCTTAGCGTTGTAATTTTTGTTATTCTACCAGTCATTCAGTTTCTTATGCATACTCTTAATTTACTAGACGTTGTCTATTCCATTATCCTCATACTTTTGTGTTTTCTCATTACGTTTTATCTGTACCAGTCTGAGATTTAATTTGAGTTGATGGAAAGTTTGTGCTAGGCTGTAATCTAATATATGCGGAAATTTACCAATATTTTTGTTTCAGGGTTTAACGAAGACTGATAACCCGGTGTCTGATCAACTTGCAGCGGATACAAATGACTTTCTGGATTCTTTGGCAGAGCTAGATGGTGATAAATGGATCTGTGGAGACAATAATGGGGAGTCTTTATCTGGTCCTACAGGCTGTGCTATTTGTTTCGGAGTCGGATTGCTTGCCCACTGCGAACGATGTGGTAGGGCGTATCATTTAGACTGTCATTTACCGCGAATAGATAGTATATCTTTGACAAGTAATTGGGCATGTTGTCTTTGTGCGGATGACGAAGTTACATCCACCACTCATGTTGACAAGCCGTCGGACAGTGGGTTTTCTCATAATGATTATCTGGTGAGTTATACTTAGAAGTCTATCATTTTCACCTCTGATTAAGTCTTGGAATAGAAATTATTTTAATTGTTAGTGTTGAGGTGTTACTCGACAGGAAATTGTAGTCATTATATATACACGGAGATTAATGCTTTCCTATATTTCTTGCCAAGCATTTCTAATGCAGAAATAACACAAATCAAAGTGATAAAGGTAATCATCTTAGTGAAACACTGTAATCTCTGTCAGTTTTCATTGTTTAAGTTGCAGAATCATTTTGAAGCATTTCCAGATAGCCATCACTCTTCAAAATATCGCCTTCTTGTGTTTCATCTCCTCTCAAAGCATAGCAAACATCGATATTAAGTGAATTCTTTTCTTGTTGAACGGAATCATGTTGATTTTTATTTCCTTAAACACGGTAAGTATATCTGATAACTGTGACAGTAATATAGAGTGTCGCATCAATGGGAAAAAGTCAAATTATTCAGAAATACGTTATCATTGTTAAGTTTTCCGTTTAGCTGGTGATAAGAAGTTGGCTATTCATGATAATGCTTTGTTAACTTCATTGAATGCACTTGAATTTTGTACACTTTCATATAAAGTCGTGTTTGTGGGATCTTATGCACACTTGACTTGGAAATTACTTCAAAGTTTTCAACGAATGCTACAGTCTCCTTACTGGCACCTGACCTATCAGACCATGTCCCACCATTGACAGAACTTGTGTTGAAATTTTTCACTAAATGGGATATGGAGTTTCTATGTTATGCATCGTTTTTGGTACTGAGTTCCAAACCTTCCTTGGTTAGATGCGAAATATTTTATAATAGCCAAGCAATATGCCAACAGTGATTCGGAAACCTCAGTAGTCTCCAGGTTGACTTTTTGAAAAAAAATCTTCTAGAGCCAAAAAACTAGATAAATAAAACACTATTTCTTTCTTGCTTTGTACAGATTGTATCCTAAATAGTTACTAATTCACGACTATTTCAAATTGCATATGTCGAGTTTAATTCGATGAACGTTTCTTCTACTTTCTAGGTAGGATGTCGAATTCTCATGGGTTTACTGGTTCACGCTGAAGCTGTTCATTTTACTGCATCAGTTTGTCCAGCGTGTTCAGCTCCACTTCTGTCTCCTAGCCGATCTATGCCACACTGTCCTGCTGGACACCTTTACCATCGACTTTCAGAACTTCGTTTACGTTTAGAGGAGTCAGCAGCTTCGTTATCTAATGGTTATTCTTATTCAACTTCCAGTCCTGATTCAGACAATAGTCAATCACGTTTTACTTCCCTTGGTGACTGGCTTGTAGAAGTGGATAAATTCTGGTCGGATGCTGCCAAAGAAACTGAGGTAAGGATTACAGTGAAGTGAGAGTGAAAATATTTTTTTGAGTAATCCCTAGTTCAGAGTATCTAAAGTTCTTCCAAAGTATGGTGAATATTTTGCAGCCTTTCTAAGTATTCTGAAAAAGGATGAGAAATAAAGTCACTTGAAACATGTCTCTGCTCATTTTTCACCTGTTGCATAATGAATTTCTTTGAATGGTCACTTATGGTTGAATCTAGTAAACTTTCATGGAACAAGCGATTCTTTACTTTCAGTTTGATGATAATTGATGAAGTACACTATTATAAGAGGTGATCTGAAGGAACTTGAGCATTGATAGTTGTGAAGGCGGTTGACACTTCCTGGCTGCCTACACCCTGGAAGGCTACTTTTTCTCTAGCTGCCTGAAGGAGGAGGGTTAGTACGTAACCTGAAGAGCCCATGAGATATCTGCTTGAGGCCGGTCACACGATCTTTTTGGAAGTTTGAGATTTTGAGTTTTTTAGTTTTGAAACCGATTATGAACTCTCAGACCACCGGCATCGGTGTGCTACGGGATGGTGACTTAAAAGTGGGGGGAGGGAAAGTAGGAGTTGGGATTATGATAACCGTAGGAAAATGTTTTCAGAGCCTCGAAATTAATCATACCTAAAAGTTTGTCACTAAGTATCTCTGCTCAGCAGTAAATTAATCTTATTGACCAAGAGATAAGTGGTGACATGGAACCTTGTTGAAAATCTTCTATAAATGCAGAGTTTAGCAGTCGGTAGTTAGACTAACCCTAACCTTTATCGTGCTCATCTTGTTAAATTCTGTCTGAAATAATTAGACTATTAGTATCATTCATTTTAGTAGTGTTGCATTGCCTGAGATGAATAATATAATCGTAAAGCTTTCATTATCAATCTGAATAATATCGTAAACAAAAATTTCAGGAAGAAGTGAACTTTAAAAATTTCCCCACAAATGGATTAGTAGTTTTTCCTGATATCCTAGGATGTGATTAATTTTTTTGGTTAATGACTTTCCTATTGTCTGTACATGGATATGGATTAAACATCTTTTTAAAAAAAATCTGAACTATGACCTTGTTACTCATATTTTTCATTGTTTGATAAACTGACTGAATCCCGATATGTCTATTGGTCACCAATTGACCTGAATACCAAGTTTCTAGAGATTCACTAACGTGCTTTTTTGTTTCCCCTATCCAAGATTCCCATATTTTCTCAGTCAGATTCATTTCCTCAATTGTTAACCTGGACTACTGTGAGCGTCTGCATATAGTACTTAACTGATAGCTAGTATTTATGTAAACGAAGACAGTGGCTATTCTGTTTGATAGATTGCTTTTCATAATCATTATGGACTGTTTTGTAGATTATGCAAGACTTGTTCCCCCCCGCCATATAATTGAGGCTTTTGAGTCGTTATAACATAGAGTGGTGTATGAGCTACAAAGATGCTGAAGAGCTCAATCAGTAAATTAGCATCAAAGTGGGACCTAGTATTACTGTATAATGGTTAAAGTTATCACATCTCAGCACACAAAAGATTTCTAATAGTTTAGTTGTAATCTCCGAAGTGTTTATTCATAGTGAGCTGATTTATATAAATGAAGGGATAACGTAACCTTATCAACAAAATAGTCAAGTCAATCTTCTGAATTATTCTGAAAAAGAGATAGCGGTAAAAAATTACAATATTTTCCTACCTATTATGCAGGACAAAATTGATGAGTCACAGGTGCCAAAGGATGTCTCATTCAAGGTAACGTAGCCACATTGTTAGTATTTATGAAAAAAGAGGTGATATAAAAATAGTCAGATAAACAATTTAGAAGGAATTAGTTTGATTTTTTGGTTCTTTAGTTCCTCTTAGCACCCTGCCGTGATATTAAGCAGATCCTCTATTATTCCCGTGAGACACTGAGATTGTGTACACGTAACTAATTAAAATTACTCACTTTATCGTATCAAGATGGTCTTTACTACTTCCAAACTAGTCTGTCAGCATCGGCACTGGACCTGACACTGCTGCATAACGGTCGAAGTTGCCATACCTTAGAGCAGCATATCAAAATAGGAAGTACTAAGAAATAAAAAAGAACATGAATCAAAATAGCATAATCATGAGTTATAGAAAGGCATAAGAGAAAAAAGACGATAATACAGGCTATGAAATGGGATACAATGAGTGGATGCATGTGCGCCGCTGAAACAGATTCTTAGCAGTATCACCTAGAGTCTCCAACCATTGCTTTCGGTTGTCACATGGACTCCTACCTAGAAGTGTGAATTAACAAGTGTCAGAAACTTCGCGGATGGATGTTGCATCTTAGTGTGCTCATCCTTAGCCTTTTTCCAGCGTAAAACTTCTTTGGCTAACACAGCGCGACGGAGCAGATGATTAGGTATACCTATCACATGCCCAATCACCTAAGTCGATGAAAGTTTAAAACCTTGTCAACTGACTTGCTTCCTTCATTTAGAATTTACGCCTAACCTCCGCATTACTCATATGATAGTTCCATTACATCTGGCCTATACTCTAATGTCAATGGTGGTCGAATAACTGAAGTCTTATGTCTTCTACTTCTATTGAACATGTTTCACGGTCATATATTAGGATAGAGCGAACCGCTACAAAGTACACTCTATTCTTGGAAGACGATTGAACATATCTCTATTACCATAGACAGAATAAGTTGACAAAAGCCAGTCGAACCTTTTGTATTTATGTGAAGATTTCGTCGGTCACTGACCAATCCTTTCTGATTTGACTTTCAAAGTGGAATGATCAATGCGGTCAGCTTTTGAAACTTTTTACAGAAGATCAATATCGCTTATACTCTGCTCTCACATATTGATATGAGTACAAACGCTTACCAAACATCTTTGGTTCAAAGCGATCTAGCGTCACAGATGTCGAGTAAAAATTCATGTACATAGCTACCTTTCTATTATTCGGCATACATTGTGACTTTATCGTCGGGGTTTACGGTTTGGTGTTTACTCCCTGTGTCAGTTTACGTATCCAGGGGGGGGGGGAGGGGTTATATTTTCAGATGAACGTACAACAGGAGTTTGATGCATAAAATTTTTAACTAATCTGAAAGAATAACAATAAGAATTGACTATACACAAACCGCTTTTTGTTTTGCAAAGTTACCCCATAGAACGTGGCATATATCGCAGTTAAAACTGCTTGGTTGTTTTTTATGAAAAGCCTATAGGTAATAATTAAGTGTAACATTTCAGCCTGCCTGCTTAGTCAGGCTCTGTTGACTAAAGTATTTGTTGCCTAAGTTTGTCTCTTTTTGAAAATGTAGGTTGCAGTGCTATAGAGTTGGACTCAGCAGTGGTCATTGTGCCATGGTTTTATTCAATAGTGGTTTTTAGGTTGGATCACGAATTTTTAACGTTGGATTGAACTGAAGTATAAACTCTAAGAAAACAAACTTCTGTGAGGATACTATCTTATTGTTTACAGGGCGAAATAAAAAACGACTCAACAGAGTTATATTACTTTAAAACCATGTAGTTTCAGTGTTCGTAATAATTATTGAAACGTATAGACGAAACTAAAGGTTCTCATGTTTTTAAACGTTTGTTCGATTAACCTTAAGGAAATGTCTTACAAACATTTTAATCACGTACATTGGTTGGCTAAATCGTCAATTCTAATCGAACTCCCCTTTCATTTACTCTGAGAATTTACTTCATGCGGTATACTCATCTAACAATAAAGTCAACTGTTTGGAAACAGACAGAAAGAATCAACGTAGAACCTCGCACACATGTCCATCGGTTCAAGTTGCTATACTTCACAGTAGTACATAAAGAACAGGTGGAGAGAAAAGTAATGATATCAAAATAGACAAAGTTGTGTGGGAGATTGAACAGTTTAAGGATAACGGTTGGTGCGAATATTCCAACTTCACGAGACGTCCAAGAATGAATACGTCTGCGCCACTGTGACCGATTTCAACCATGTCACCAGCAGTCCTCAACCACTGATTCCAATCGTCTCAGGGACCTCACCTATGTGGTGTACTTCTCTCCCACAAGGCTCAGATCAACAGTTAGGGACTTCATCAACTGGTGTCACGTCTTGGTTTGGCCACCCTGAACCCTCTTTCAACCCAATCCAGCTTCCCCAGGATGGCACGTCAAGGTAGGTGGTGGTTTGGCATGCACAGCATATGCCCAAGCCAACTCAGTCGATGAAGGTTCACAACCTCAGCAGTTGGTTTGCCTGTCTTGCCTAGTACCCTTCACCTGACTTCAACATTGCTGACACGATGATTTAGCCAAATGCGAGCAATACTACGAAGACACCTCTTATCAAAAGCATGTAACCGCTTCATATCTTCCACTTTCAACGGCCATGTCTCAACCGTGCAAAAGAACAGCACGGACTGCAGCGCAGTATACCCTTCCTAGTTCAGCAATGTAGTACTAATCTGTATTGCGTATGTGAAAAGTTTTGTTATTGTTCGGCGAATTATTTTTTGATGCTTTTAGTGTGACGCAAATTGATGAAGTGACTATGATTGCTGAAAGAATAAGGAACTAAAACCTAAAGGAATCGATAAAATCGAATATGGAGAGTGTGTTCTCATTTTCCAGTATGAGAAATGGTTTTTTGTTCAGGATTTCTTAAAAAAGAAGTAAAAGAATGAATTTGGTAATGGTGCTGAGTAATTTTAGCGAACATTAACGAATCACATGAATTATCAGCATCACTTATTTTTAGCTGTCTGTCGTAAGAACAGACTTTGCTTTACTCTCCCATTTCCTCTGTGATCATGTGCCTTCGAAACATTGATCACACCTCCCAGAAACGTAGTCTGAGTGATGTCAGTGTTAGGCGTAGAGTTCGAAGCCAAGAAGGCGAGTCAGCGAGGTATCTGAGGCATGTCACAGCCTAGCTGGAAACTGTCAGGTAGAGTACGATTGGCTAAGAAAAAGGCTAGAAGTGATCACCAGGCTGAGGTATAACAATAATCCTTCAAGTCACCGGTTATTCGCTTGAATTGCATGGGCAAGTGTAGGTTGCCTGGTTAAAATCCTCAAGGTTTCAAGAATACGTAGCCATAGACGCAATAACATACCTTGATTTCGATTGGGCTGTTTCAGATGGATTTACTTCTTGCCATCTTTGTAATAATCTCATTTATTTATTCTCCTTCCGCTTGTTTTTATCTATTTATGTTGGTCTATATTTGTGCTGTCGCAATTTACATTATTGTACTTTTGTCACAGGTTATATGTTGTTTTGTCTGTCTATATTTCTTCCGTTAATTGTCGTTGTTGTGTTAACTACTAACTTATTTATCCATTTTAGATACGTGGTTCTACCAAAGGATGCTTACAAGCCGCTCGTCGGCTTAGATCTCGACTCACTTCTCTTGTACGTGAACATCAACCAGAGTATGAGTCTCTTTTATCGCCAAAGCCAACCTCCAATGATATAATCAAAGAACCACTTAATGACTACCCTGTTGACATGGGTAGTTGTACACCAGAGTCTTCTGTATTACCCCCATCTCCTGTTTCTATAAAAGCTGAAGTTATGGAATAGTTGTTCGGTATACGTGAATACGTCAGCTTTGTATAACCCGGTTTAAAATAAGTATCATAAACTTATTAATTAGCTTATATTTATGTATCTTTTATATTGTCATATTCTATTGTCTGCATTAGTTTAATTGGTATTTCAGTAATTGTTGTGGTGCGACCTACCATTTCTATTCGATAAGCTAACTGTCGATGGTGGTTTTTTTTGTACACACTGCACAGTGACTATTGTCTGTGAAAATCTTATCTACCAATTCTTTTTTATCAATTTAAAGAAAAAAAACACTTTTTTCTTCCTAGTGTCCAACAAATGTATGGAAATTATATGCATTTATGTGTGACTGTTGTCCTTTTCGGACTTTGTTCTCTGGTTGATTAATGCTGAAAATTAGCGTAAACGGAGAAGTTTGAATCTGAGAATGTTTCTCAGCTGTCATACTTCAACTTTAGATCGATCCCTTTTGTTACACCCGTAATATTTTGTCATGGCATGCAGTAAACAAGCATATAACTTATCCTAAGTGACACTAGATGGTGAGTCACATGTAATTGCATTTGTATGCGTGTAGTATGCAATTTGAAATGCTTGGTTGCGATCTTACCATTCAATTTCTTTCGGGGTGGTAGTATGTGAAGTCTATGACTATTGATCTGAGCTGTGTAGTGAAGTGTAGTTCTGGTGGTCGGGGTTCGTGAACTAACAACATGAAATTATCTAATAGAGGCACCACCCTACGTAGGTCCGAGTTTAGCCATAGTTAGAACTAAACACTTAGGTGACGCGTCTTATCAGACAGTATTAGAAAAATATCCAGAGTTACGACAACCGAGGGATACTCTGCCTCACATAACCAGCAATGTCACGCATCACGGGCTCACCAGTTTAGGAGTTGTCCTAATGCGAACTTGACAAACTCTAAGACCAATCACTAGTTATTAGTACTTGTAATATATCCACGAACGCGAGACCAAGGAAGAAAACAACAGAGTAGTCAGATGGGAGAGAAGTCTTGCCAAAATATGGATGCCTTCCGCCTAGTTGGCTAGAGGATCGATTACGAGCAGTGCAACGTAACACGATAACGTGAAAAATGGTGTAGATGCTTGACTGTGTGCCTTCAGCTTAGTGAGTCCAGTTAAACTATGAAGGTCGGCATCAGTGTTGAATCTCGTCGAACCCTAGGCTGTTGATTTTTGGGAATTATGTGCCGCTACACTGTGACTAACTTCTTATCAACTTGATAAAAGTATTTTCAAATTTTGGAATGTGTATATTTTAGTATTATTTAGATTGTAAGCACTTGAGAATAATCCTCAAAATAATGAGAAATGAGATCGTATTATGTTTGTAGACTTGTTGTTCCTGTGCTGTTCAAGTTGATAACACTTTTCATTTCCTATGGCTTGGTTCTCCACGTCATATAAAGCGGGAAAAATCATAAGCATATTCTTTTTTTTGTGGAAAGATACTCCGATGACACAGTTTAACAAGTCGCTGACGTAATAGCTATGCTGAACAGAGTAGCGACTATTCACTGAGCAACGAAAGTATCAGAAGTCTGTGACCGAAAGGCCCAATTTATTCGAGAAAAGTACACCACATAAACAGTTCTAACAAACACAGAAATGAGCTAGGTCAGAGATAAGACAACTTATCCTGATTGGCTCCATGAAACATGGAATAGTCGTGTTAGATTTATAGTAACTGCACAACAGCATGGATCAAAATTTTAAAGCTCAAAAGTTTCTACCCCATTGGCTAATGAATGAAAATGTTGGTTCCCATTTTAGATGCTTCCTAGCAGACTCATTTTTCTAAAAGTTGGTCTAAACCCTCTGATTGCTTTTCTTATCCCTCCAACATCTGGTTTGAGCGGTGTATGGTTGTGTACAGTGACTTTTTAGTATCCGGTAGATAATAGGAACCAATGTTTAGAGACCCTTAGTAATTTGGCTGAAAATCTGTTTCAATGGTGCAGAAGTATTCACTCTTTGACGCCATATAAACATTTTCGCCGACCTTCATTTTTCAACCTTCTCATCTCATGCACCTTTATCGAATCTTATATCATTTTTTAACCCATTTGTTGTTTACCTGTTGCTGTGAAGTGTGACAACTTCAACCGATGCACTTCTGTATTAGGCTGTACATTGATTTTGTATATTACTGTATAGATACATTCACTAGAGGGACATGTAGCGCGAGTTCTACCTGAATTTTAATAGATTTTGTCCAATTAATTACAAAGAGGCCGGTTGCAATGCTGTTCAGCTGTACAAGTAAACTGCAGTCTGAGAAGGAAACTGAAGAAGAATTAACAATTGTTGAACATTACCTGCTCGAAAATATTCATTCAGAAAAGTTTGTCGACAGACAGCGGAATATGAAACGAAATGAACTTCAAGATATCATCTGGGTCAGGAATTGATTGACGTTTCTAGTTTTCACTTTCGAATGAAAGTACATCTGTGTGATGACACTTTTATTGATTTAATATGTGCTCTGTCTATAGAGTGCACTATTACTCTTGGTTGGTTAATCATAGAGTAGACTTTTCAGCTTTCTAATTCTAATAATCTCTTTTCTCTATCTCAATTACTGTATTTATTTAAAGATTGTTCTTATGATTAGCTGGAAAACAATTGAAAGATAAGAAGCACTTGATAGATGTTTCACGTTTCTCAGAAGTACACACTAGTGCATGGACTTAAAATATTACCACTTGTGAGTGTTATATGTATATCTCTTGTTCAGCATTTGTGTATGAGATTGCATTGCTTATTTACTAATTGTATGTGTGATTTATATTCCAACTGTCGTTAGTAGCATTAGGTAAGGTTAAATTGTGTAAGTTTTTTAACTCGTTTTGTTTTCTTGCTTTCGGGGTCTATGCTCATAACGGCTGATACCCGTTTCACAAGGTGTGACTCTCGTTCCCCGGTGGCCTAGTTGGTAACTCTTTGGCATTTAAAGCCATGGGTACGGTGTTCGAGTCTCAGAGCAAAATGACTCACTAGGGTGTAGATACATCCATCTGATGAGTCTCGAATGGGACAAAACCTGCGTCCTAGGTTTCAACGCTAGTCACCAAGATAAGTGGGGTGATGTTCATTTTGTGTTTGAAAGTCGAACGCATCGCCAGCAATAAGCTAGTTTCCTGTATCACTATTGTATGTGACTAGCACTGACAACCATTATCTTCGTGAGCTGCTGGTATGCTTACTGTTTCCTCTCCTCCTTAAAAATCTTTTCAAGCTTATTCTTCTCCAACCAGCACTGATAATAGATGAATGAGCTACTTAATGTATATTTTAATTATCTTGTTTTATTCATGCTTTCAGTCCTTAATTGAGACTTTTCCTATATAAAAACTTCAGTATTTTGAAACTTAATTTTGTATGGAGATTTTGTGAAATTTATAGGATTCAGGGTGATATTCACTATGGACTGACATTAGTTGGAGAGCCATTTAAAATCTGACAGCATTAGAAACCTGGTTCTTTCTGGCACGGAGCTCTCCAGAAGTGTGCACCCATGACCACACCTCGCCAGGGGTCGAACCCAGGGCCTTTACATTTCGCGACGAGCGTGTTACCATTGAGCCACTGGGTTGGAATCCAATGGTCTATATTTTCTTAGTTCCTTTAATTTGCCATATAGCATGAACTTCATCCAATATCATCGTTGAGTATTTGTCCTCACATTCGACTGGGTCGCTCTGCCGGTCAGGATGTGTCGAATTGACAGAAATATTTCAAGTTGTTATTCATCGTCGACTGGCATCAGTTGGAGGGACAAAGGAAACCTGGGAGTACTGGACAGTTGTTTCGTCCTAGTATGGGACTCCTCAGCAGTGCGTACCCACGACCCTGCCAGGGATCGAACCCGCGATCTTCAGGTTCCGTGGCCAGCTGTCCAGTGCTCCTAGGTTTCCTTTGTTCCCCCAATTGATGTTAGTCTACGATGAATAACAACTTGGAATATTTCCAAATCCCCACAACTCCCTCAAAATTCAATTGACAGAAGTAAGAGAATGTGGACCATTGCTTTCCATTCGACCATAGGGCTCAGTAGTAACTATCTCGCAGCGAAACCTGAAGGTCCTGGGTTCTTTACCTTGTGGGGTTATAGGTACGCACTGCCGAGGCGTCCCGTACTAGGATGAAACACTTGTCCAGTTCAACTAGGTTTTTAATGGTTCCCGAACAGTAGTCAGTTCGTGATGAATATCACCTTGAAACTCAGTTTCGACGTAAAAGGTGGTAACTATTGCTCTGATGGTGCTTTGTTGATTGGTTTCATCATATAGGGATATTTAATGTACCAAGCAACTAAATGGAGATAAGGATTGAAAAGTTATTATTTTTTTTCTTTTCCCTCTTATGCTTAGAAGCATGAACAAGGTGACATATCTTGTATACGTTCTTTTACACACACACATTTGTCTTGGTTCTAATTGAGCATAACATTCTACACTACAGGGCACAGGAAACATCTCAGTCAACATGGTCTTCAGGAAGAAGAATGTTACAGGTTGAGTCCCACTATCGTTTTCACTTTCTAGTAGACGTAGAATAAATTACTGAAAGAAGTTACGATTTCGAAATAAAAATAACGTAGATCTTATAATGTCCTTGGAGTTTGGACGGAATAGCAGCTTAGTAACTGTATAAGCTGTTGAAACAGTTTAAACGGTTTATAGTTCAGGATGAAGATGATAATTGTTTGATGTTCTCTGAGATTTCAAGTTTGTTCTTGGATATTTCATCATCAGCATTTACTTCAAGCAATTTTAAATGGCAAAGGATATTTGCCGTCCTTGAGCATTATTGGTTTATGAGTAGAGTTGATCTCTCCTTACTTTTTTAATCAGAAGTTGGCTTTTATGGAAGTTGTGCATAGCAGTTTTGAATACAGCAAAAATAACAATGTTCATTAAATGAAATGTAGTTATCTTGTTTACCTCTCACCGATCACCTGTGAACAGCCTAGACTTAAAACAGTTAATATTGATAACAATTCACTTTAGTGGCATACTTCAAATGCTTTTTGGATGAAAACAAGATGTAGTAGACACCAACGAATCTAAAATGGAAACAGTACGAAACTATAATGTTTCTTGATATATGAAAAGAGGAAATTTTTCAGTTGGTAATACCTTCAACGAAGGGGTCAGTAATGGCAACAGATCACTAATGATAATAATACCTAAGTTGGTTATTATGCAAGAAACTAGGAAAATGAGAACATGACATTGAAAACTTTTGTGAGACCAAGTAAACTTGACATTCTCACTATATTTAATATTTGAAGTGACTGACGTGTTAATATTCATCATGAACGGACATCATTTGAAGAATCATAAGACAAGTGCGAGCACCGGATAACTGTTTTATCCTAGTATGGGACGCCTCATCAATGCACGCCTAAGACCCTGCCAGGGGTCGAACCCAAGACCTTCGGTTTCCACGGTTAAAATGTTACCACTGAGTACCTGGATTCATACCCAATATTATTGCATATTATGTGTCCCATGGGTTCCCAGGCGAATATGGGGCTTCAGTAGCACGTCTCCATTTCACTCTGTTCTCTGCAATCTTTTCAACATGGCTCCACAACTGCCCACAAACTCTCATTCCCTCCTCACACCATCTCCTCCATGTCACCCTTGGCACCGACGCCCAACTCGTACCTTCCCATCTGGGTTCCACTCAATGGCCTGGCCTGACACGTGATGTCCTCGAATAGTCTTCTCAGTGCATGTCCAATCCATCTCGACTTACTTCCAGTGCATATTTGTTGAGTGATAGGTTATTGGTTAGTTAGTTCGTTGCCAGTCAGGCAGAGTTTCTTGTTGCTTATTCTCACTATTCTGGCCATCTGAGCTTCAGTGACGAGGCAGTGTAGGCAGTTGTTGATGAATGTTTGTAGTTTGTTGGAAATGCCCTTCGTAACACGCCAAGTCTCTCAACCATCACATGGAAGCACTGACTTACTCAACTGACATAGTGCTGAAAATCCGGATGTTATTCACGCTTTATGCTGAGTGCAGTGCAGTAGATCTGCACACTGGTTTCAGGTTAATGAAGGGAGGCCTGTCTTGCTGTCTTTCCGATGCTGGCTGGCTTTGACTTCCTCGTCTGTGCCGCCTGTAGTTGCTGCCTAGATGCTGTCTATGAGGGTGGGTGAAGGAGGCTACTTCCTTTAATTTTCTGCTATTGATGGTGATTGGAGCTTGTTGTTGTTGTTGGTGGTGGTCGTGGTGGTGGTGGTGGTGGTGGTGGTGTTGGTGTTGGTGTTGTTGGTTGAGTATCTTCATCACCTCTGTCTTCTCTATATTCACTTGAAGTCCCTCGCGTCTTCGCTGCCTGTCCTGTCTCTTCTATCAACTTGTTAGTTTTCACTTGTAGACCTTTGAGCTTGTGTGACATCAGACACAGTTCATGATGGGCGAAATCCAAATCTTCTAGATTCTTTTCCGTCGTCCAGCCAGCGTATCACCCTCTTCTCACTCCTCACTGTTTGCTGCATGATCCAGTCGACCACAATCAGGAAGATGGTTGGTGATGGTAGGTGGCAGCCTTGTCTTACTCCTTCCTGTCTTCACTTCATTGCAAAGGCATCACTGAGCTTCCCATTGTCAATTGCTTGGCATGTGGTGTCTTCATGTAGTTGTTGAATGAGATTGATAAAGGTTTGTAGCACTGAAACCGTGACGTTGAAGCAGTTTCCAAATTACTTCTCGACAGAGGCTGTCGAAGGCCCCTTCAAAGTTGATGAAGTTGATGTTGAGTTGAGTTGAGTTGACTGCGATTCCATGCACTGTTCTATGATGATGATGATGATGATGATGATGATGTGTGATGTGGTATTGTGATTTGATCCGCACATGATTTGTACTTCCTGAATCCAGTCTCTTCCGGTCATAGTTTCGAATGCAGCACATGCTTTAGTCTCTCCAGTATGATGCAGCTTAATATTTTGCTTGAGATGGAGAGAGGTGGAGTACGATTCCTCACCAGTTCTTGCAAGAGACGTAGGTCAGCCTTCTTCGGGAGTTTGACGAGATAGCCCTTCTTTCAGTCAATCCGCAGGTACCTTTCCTTCCCTCCTTGCTTCCTTCCAAACCTTCTGCAGTAGTGGTGTGGTGTGAGCATATCCACTGTTGTCTCTGCATCTGTTCTCTGTGCTTCTGGTGAGATTCCATCTGGTGCTGCTGCTTTCCCATATTTCAGTAGCCTTATGGCGTCCAGGACTTCCACTTTTGTTGGGGGATTTGTGTTCACTTGTAGTTCTATGGCTGTGAGTGATATTTCTGAATGAGTTGCAGGTGGTTGTGGTGGTGGTTGTGTTGGTGGTGGTCGATTCAACAGCATTTTGAAGTGGTTAGTCCATCGTTCCCTTTGTTTCTCTTCTTTGGTATCTAATAGTCGTTTTTTTCCACTTCTGTCAGTTCAAAATCTGGGTTGACTTTCAGCTAATATCATCGCTTCGTAACTGTTCTCATATCCGACTTAGTTGACCCCAGTGGTCACGACTTCTTATTAGAGAATTCTACTTGTATCGAGATGTAAGGCAGTGATATCTTTTGCAATTCTGTCTGTATCCTCACTTTAACTAGTGTATGCAAATTTGTAATTGTGGTTCCAGACGAAATGTCCTGCATGTTGATCTACATGAGATGTATTGAATGAACAGTTACTGTCATCAACTGCTGGGGATTCTCTTTTGAGTTTCTCCTGATTTCGTTTGCCAGTGTTCGCTATCATACTCCTTTTGAATTTAAAACTAGGGGAAATTTGTTTCTGTTATGCTAAGTTAGATTATATTTGATGTCTTCCATCTTATGTATCTGACAATGAACATACGGATTTCTTTTTTTTGTAATTCCCCTTTGATGGTTATACTGAAGCGCATTGGTTAGTCTTAGTTGGCCTTTGAGCTCCAATCCAAATGCCAACAGAGACCAATAGATTCACTTCGCTATAGTAATCAGTGGGAGCGATAACGTTATTAGTATGATTAGAGAGGAGAAGTATTGGTCTTCCAGCTGCTCACATGAGACAACTGGAACGAGAAAACCTGTTCGCTTTCAGATCTCATCATGCGTGTATAGACCAAATAGAAAACCTTCGCGCAAGGTCTTGGAATGTTATAACACTCAATAGTCACCAAAATGTCTGAGCAACCAACGTATTGACGATGAACTGACAAACATCTACCACCTGTTACCATGATAACTGATCAAATCTCTGGTCAACTGAAGAGAGACGAAGACGTAGTCAACAGCTGAACCACATGGCTTGGTAAGTAGAGTGCCATGGTACTTACTAGCTTGCTGCTGGCTAAAGTCCTACTACAATCACCTCCTCATCAAACTTTTAGTAGACATTATTATAATGTACAGCGGAAACGACTTGTGGAAATATATGAGGCCGTAATTTATTAACCGATGGAATAAGGTTCACTTTATTTATGTGACATTATCTTGTAATAAAGTGTAAAATATTCAGCAGTCTATGACTGTAAGCTCTCGGGTTACCGAGACAAACGATTTAGTGAATTGAGTAGTTAAAATGATATTTATTAGTTGAAAGGTAGTTTACATCACAAAAGGATATTGGCTAAGTGACCGTTAAAATGTTGCTGTTTCGTTTTGAACATGAATCACTACATCCCTCCTACACATCAGAAAAAACAGCTACCTCAGAAACAATTCTGCCACATTTTATTTAGGAGCTACAGAACTTCGGCATCCTTGAGCAACTATCAGATGACCTTGAATCCATTAATAAAGAAAAGTTTATTTCTTTCCAATTTTTTATACAGAAATGTAAGGAAATTACAGTAGGTTTGGTTTTTCAACTATGTTCAGACGCTTATGCTACTTTTTCTGCCTAGAGTAAAAGTGTATATGACAAAAGTATTTATCCATCTGGCTACATGAACCATCATAACTGCGATATGGACGCAAATAAACCTTAAAGTGATAGTATAGTAGGCGTTACTGATAAAAGTGGATATAAGTAGTACATGTTGAGATGGTGGCAGAAATCATAAGGAATTACCAGCAAGGGGTTGGCATTCTACCAAGAGAAATGGAGAAGACAAAGCAGGCATATGAACAGCAAATCAAGGGAGAAGTAGAAGAGGAAATTAAGCATACTTTGCAAATGATGGTTTTAGTGCAAGGTGTACGATGTTTAAGAACTACTGTCCTACTAGTTAACGATATACATACCTTTCTTCGTACATGTCTTTTTGTTTCTTTCAGTAGTAATAAGTGATGAATGGCAAAGAAACAGCAAGTAGGTCATCTTCTCAGTGTTAACACTTCTTATTTTTAGTAATTTTGTCCGGAAAAGAAAGTGGAGACACATGGAAAAGTCTTTGAAATCAGAAAATGGTCAAAGACCAAGGTGTGGGAAATAATTCTTTTCGATTCAGTCAAAATTATCATTATCAAGATTGTGCATAACCTTGTTCCTAATTAGGGATACCCTTTCAACACTTCAAAACAAACGAAGAGTCCTCTTCAACTTCATTGATCACATCAAGATCCTTCAGTCATTGCTGAAGGATGGCAAAATCCTATAGTCCTACCATTATTTACAAAAATTGGAGTCAAAACACAAACATTATTTCTGTACTGCGTTTGACTTGTAGCCTAAACAGATGAGTCTTACTTGGAGGACAAGAAACCAGAATTAGTGGTCAGTTGTTCCATAGATGATATCAACTCGCAATGAAGATTATCTGTAAACTAATTTTGATATTATATGCTGCATGATTGCTAATTTTATCCTATTAAAGATCTTTCAATTACATGTAACTGTATTCTCTTGTGTAATGGTGTTCCTGATGAAATTCAAATCCGAAACTCATCCCTGCAACCAGTAGAACATTAAAAATTAGAGAACTGAATCACGATGATCATAGTTTTGCAGTTTGGAGTGTTTGCAAAGTTAAATACTATGTTTTATTTTCACTTATGCATCTGCAAATAGCTTACGAGTCCCCTATAGAACGAAAATAATACTAAATACCATCAGTTAGCATCGAAGAATCTTTTTAAGCAGCCTATATGACAACAGAAATGTATCAATTTACAGCAGCAAAACAAACAACAAAGAAGTTGCAAACATGTTCAAATGATTTAAAAGTTGTGATATTAGATTTTGTTAACATTTATTTACAGCTACTTATGAGTAGTACGTCTACAAATAAATTATTTCACCTTTATTCTGACCACTTTCTAATGAGTCATATGGATTGCGTTTTATGAATATTTCAAATTTAAGAGGTCATTTGATCGTGAACTAAGCGACCAATATGGAAGAAAAAAAGCGAAAATATAAGGATGCCCACGTATGTAACTCATGAAAGTATGAATGAAGATTCGAATCTCCAAAACCTGCGTCGAACTTTCAATAGTGCTGATCACTTTATCATATACATTCTAGAAGCAGAGTTAAACTCAAAATTCCACTTCTTTGATGTCCAACTTAAGGGGAGAGATGAAGGTTAAGCCCAGAGATTTATTTGCAGAAAGCTAACTTGAAACGGGCAGTTTACTAATTTTCGAAGCTCTGTCCGTTCTTCAAGAACGCAAAGAATCTGTACGAAAGATACCATCGAAGGTGAAACAGGAAGTTTTCAAGAAACGTTGATGGAAAGTGAATACTCACCACTGTTTATAGATAAGAATCTAAAGCTGAAAATTGCCACGGAAGGGGTACATACAGCTCCAAAAATATCTTTCTGTTGAACCTCGAATTTAAGGGCAGTAATGCTACAGATGTACTGTCAACGGCTATAAACAGAATATTCTTTGCCGCCGATCTTAGAATCGAAAGGAGTGAGGTTAAGACATCTAGGCAAAACTGAAGCATCAGTGATTCAACAATCCAAATTATCATTATACGTGCAACCTCTTTCTTTGTCATGGTGGCAGTAGAGTATCGATCCCCTAAGGTAATTAATTTCCTTGGTACGTAACTATTTTTATTTTGTACTCATTGTTTATTTCCTGATGTTAACCGTCTATAGATACTACTTAAATTTCCTTCGTCATATAGTTTATATTGACCTTTGACAGAAAATCACTCTGGAATATTCTCTTCTTCCTACGATATATTTACGAATGTACAACTAAGATGATGATTTCGTCGAAAAGAAGAAAATGTTTTCCTCGCAGCAATCTTCTGTGTTTCCCTACTATCAAATAAGTTTGCTTCGATATTAGTCCACAATGAAAAGTGCCTTAGAAGCCAATGATCTGCTCCATTCACTTATACAAAAAGGACTGCTGTAATTTAGAGAATCTCATTTAAGAATAGATGCCCATAATGCTAACTAATGCTAAACTATAAATTTGTCAGAGGATTACTTATTGGTGTTGAACGAAATTTAACCCATTTCCAATGCTTATGCAGCTCAGTTTGTGGCTTTAACTCATCCAATGGTGCTGTAAGGTGCTTGGAGTCAATCGATAGAAAATCATTTAATATTTATCCCTTGGGTTCCCAGGCGAATATGGGGCTTCAGTAGCACGTCTCCATTTCACTCTGTTCTCTGCAATCTTTTCAACATGGCTCCACAACTGCCCACAAACTCTCATTCCCTCCTCACACCATCTCCTCCATGTCACCCTTGGCACCGACGCCCAACTCGTACCTTCCCATCTGGGTTCCACTCAATGGCCTGGCCTGACACGTGATGTCCTCGAATAGTCTTCTCAGTGCATGTCCAATCCATCTCGACTTACTTCCAGTGCATATTTGTTGAGTGATAGGTTATTGGTTAGTTAGTTCGTTGCCAGTCAGGCAGAGTTTCTTGTTGCTTATTCTCACTATTCTGGCCATCTGAGCTTCAGTGACGAGGCAGTGTAGGCAGTTGTTGATGAATGTTTGTAGTTTGTTGGAAATGCCCTTCGTAACACGCCAAGTCTCTCAACCATCACATGGAAGCACTGACTTACTCAACTGACATAGTGCTGAAAATCCGGATGTTGTTCACGCTTTATGCTGAGTGCAGTGCAGTAGATCTGCACACTGGTTTCAGGTTAATGAAGGGAGGCCTGTCTTGCTGTCTTTCCGATGCTGGCTGGCTTTGACTTCCTCGTCTGTGCCGCCTGTAGTTGCTGCCTAGATGCTGTCTATGAGGGTGGGTGAAGGAGGCTACTTCCTTTAATTTTCTGCTATTGATGGTGATTGGAGCTTGTTGTTGTTGTTGGTGGTGGTCGTGGTGGTGGTGGTGGTGGTGGTGGTGTTGGTGTTGGTGTTGTTGGTTGAGTATCTTCATCACCTCTGTCTTCTCTATATTCACTTGAAGTCCCTCGCGTCTTCGCTGCCTGTCCTGTCTCTTCTATCAACTTGTTAGTTTTCACTTGTAGACCTTTGAGCTTGTGTGACATCAGACACAGTTCATGATGGGCGAAATCCAAATCTTCTAGATTCTTTTCCGTCGTCCAGCCAGCGTATCACCCTCTTCTCACTCCTCACTGTTTGCTGCATGATCCAGTCGACCACAATCAGGAAGATGGTTGGTGATGGTAGGTGGCAGCCTTGTCTTACTCCTTCCTGTCTTCACTTCATTGCAAAGGCATCACTGAGCTTCCCATTGTCAATTGCTTGGCATGTGGTGTCTTCATGTAGTTGTTGAATGAGATTGATAAAGGTTTGTAGCACTGAAACCGTGACGTTGAAGCAGTTTCCAAATTACTTCTCGACAGAGGCTGTCGAAGGCCCCTTCAAAGTTGATGAAGTTGATGTTGAGTTGAGTTGAGTTGACTGCGATTCCATGCACTGTTCTATGATGATGATGATGATGATGATGATGATGTGTGATGTGGTATTGTGATTTGATCCGCACATGATTTGTACTTCCTGAATCCAGTCTCTTCCGGTCATAGTTTCGAATGCAGCACATGCTTTAGTCTCTCCAGTATGATGCAGCTTAATATTTTGCTTGAGATGGAGAGAGGTGGAGTACGATTCCTCACCAGTTCTTGCAAGAGACGTAGGTCAGCCTTCTTCGGGAGTTTGACGAGATAGCCCTTCTTTCAGTCAATCCGCAGGTACCTTTCCTTCCCTCCTTGCTTCCTTCCAAACCTTCTGCAGTAGTGGTGTGGTGTGAGCATATCCACTGTTGTCTCTGCATCTGTTCTCTGTGCTTCTGGTGAGATTCCATCTGGTGCTGCTGCTTTCCCATATTTCAGTAGCCTTATGGCGTCCAGGACTTCCACTTTTGTTGGGGGATTTGTGTTCACTTGTAGTTCTATGGCTGTGAGTGATATTCTGAATGAGTTGCAGGTGGTGATGGTGGTGGTCGATTCAAGAGCATTTTGAAGTGGTCAGTCCACCGTTCTTTTTCTTTCCATTCATTCGTAATTAAATTTCTGTCATCATCTTTCTTTGCTTTCATCTGCGTTAATCTTTTCCTTCACACTGCCTGACTCCAATCATCAAATCGTTGAATGCGTAGAAATCTGCAAACCAATTCTGCATTCTCGTTGATCACCTCACCGAGCGCTTCTCGACCCATAACTAGTTCTCTTCCTGTGTTGTCCGCTCCCAGTTTCACATTCATATCGCCCATCAAAATTTTGATATCACCAACTGAGCTGGTGTCTTGTCCAGTGTTGATTGCAGTTGTATGTAGAATTCCTTCTTCTTCTCTTGTTGTGCATTATTTGTAGGTGCGTAGCGTGGCATTGTATGATTGTGTCTTCCCTTCCTGTCCATTTGGATCTTGCTGTAATGATCCTGATCCTTGTCATTGGGGAGGTTGTTTCCCACTGCATGAGAGAGAGAGAGCCTTCGATGCTGTTGGGACATCATGATAGCCACTCCAAAACTCAGTATGCTCGTAGTTGTCGTGTGGGTGACAATGTCGGAGTAGATTATTGACTCTACAGTTGACAGTTTGGAGAGTCCACTTCCACTCCATTCCATCTGCTGCTATCGCAGATTCCCAGCACTCCAATGCCATATCTTCTCACTTGTTTTGCAATCTGGGCAGCCTTGCCTTGCGTGGTTCACACATGGTGGAGACATTCCATGTCACCATGTTTACCTTTGCTTTGATATAGAGAAGAGAAGAAATATCAGCCAACTGGCTTCGTGAAGGCTTTCACCAACCGGTGTCATTCCGTCTCTCCGTTTCCGGTGGCGGATAATTTTGTTTTTATTTTTTATATTTTGTTTGTGCTTTGAAGTTTGTTTAGCGGTTGGATTTGTTTTACGGTGTAGGTTTGCTTGTCTTATGCCCCACCTTCCCTCTTTTACGAGGGCTTAGAACTGGGTAGTAACTAGTGAAGTAGTTAACCAGGTGAGGTTCTTTTCTTATATGGCAACAATATGAAGACAC